TCACTTTAGATCGCTTCATTTTGCCTGAAATAAGTGGAGACAGAAATGTTTTAGATATTTAGTGTCAATTGAAAAAGCAATGCCTGCGCTCAATCGCGTACCTTCCGCGATGCGTCCTCCTCATATCTCCTGGCGCTTTCAAGAAGTTTCTAGAACGAGATGGGATCCACCACTTCCTCTACCTCACACATTTCATGCAATCCCCACCACCGAAATCACAAGATAACAATTCGTTGAACCCAAAAACTGCAAGTGCAGGATGCGCTGCTTCACAAAAACCAGGATTCGGAAATAAGCTCCGTGATGCACCCACGTGTCGTTAACGTAGTGGCCGGAGTTTCGGCATTTGGACGTGCTCTAATATTTTAATGGTTTTATCATCGGTTCGACTTGCATAACACGGAATCGAAACACTCGTCTTCCCATCGACCGACTGCGAACCTAAAATCATAGAAGCTTGAAGAGGTACTCGATGGCGAGCGCCGCGTCTTGGAATACCTTCACCCTTAATGCTCCTCCGGCTGCGGCGGTCGCGGCCGGGCCTCCTCACGTCCGCCGCTCTTCCCTTGCCCTCACCGCCCTCCGCCTGAGATCCCCAATTTCCAGGAGCAGCGGGAGGTTTTTGTCCTACCCCGCGCCGATCCGCACCCGGGCGGTGGTCGACGACGACGAGTGGGGCAAGGAGGGAAACGGGGAGCCGGAGAGCGGGGTCGCAGTGGTGGAACCCCCGGTGGAGGAGCTGAGCGAGGCCGGGGAGCTGAAGAGGAAGCTGATGGATCTGCTGTCCGGGACCGACCGTGGGCTGAAGGCGTCGAGCGAGACGAGGGCGGAGATCGTGGAGCTCATCACCCAGCTCGAGGCCAAGAACCCCACGCCCGCTCCCACCGACGCCCTCCCCCTCCTAAACGGCAAATGGATCCTCGCGTAAGATACTGCCTCTCCTTTGGTCTCTTCGTTATTGATCGATCGGAGGTCAACTGAAAATGATGGGTTGTGGACGCAGGTATACCTCGTTCTCGCAATTGTTCCCACTTTTGGGGTCGGGGCGGCTGCCGCAGCTGGTGAAGGTGGATGAGATATGTCAGACTATTGATTCGGAGAGCTTTACGGTGCAGAACTCGGTGAAATTTGCGGGTCCTCTCGCCACCACTTCTGTCACCACGAATGCCAAGTTTGAAGTCCGAAGTCCCAAGAGAGTACAGGTATCTTATCTCCTGCACTCCCTTTACCATCTCTGCGTCGTGTTTTTGCTTCATGTTCTACAAGAATTCAATTCTGCAACGATTAAATGACTGCAAATTTTGAGTTGGGTAAGATCGTACTAGATTTGGTTCATGTGTTCAAATTTGGTCGCACGCAAGCTAATCCATGTTTCTCCTAGGACAGATTAAGTTGTATAGCTAATTTCTGGAAACATTAAATGGAAAAAAAATGCAAAATATGTTTTGATTTGGGAAAGTTCTTACTAGATTGATGCATGTGTTCATGTTTGGTCACACCCAAAAATAAGTGCTAAATGGAAAGTTCTTACCATGCTTCTCCGAGGTCAGAATAACTTGTATAGCCAATTTCTGAAGATATTAAATGAAAAATAAGTGCAAAATATGTTTTCATTTGTGAAATATCTTACTAGATTGATGCATGTGTTCAAGTTTGGTCACACCCAAGCTTTTCCCTGTTTCTCCTAGGACAGATTAAGTTGTATAGGTAATTTCTGAAGGTATTAAATGGAGAAAATGCAAAATATGTTTCTCCTTCAAGAGACAAAGGAACTTTCTTATTTGATAGGTGCGCTTCATTTATGATGGTTGTAGATTTGCCCTGTTCTTTGACTAACAATCAAGTATTATTCTATGTCTTTCCATGATATATAGGTAAAAGATTTACAGAAGCATAAACATTGAGTTGGAAGTATTTTACACTTTCCACAAATTTTACCAAGAAAGGTCACATGTGCTTCTAGGCAAAGTCTTTTTGATGCAAACTAAGAGCTCTTTTGTATTATCAGATCCCTCCTTGTGTAAAGGAACTAACAGTTCCTTTAAGATAGCAACATGTAGCTTAGAGTAGACTGGATGAATCCTTGGGTGCGTTAGGTTCCTTTAAACTCTTGTTTCCCATATTCCCTCAGTTCAGAAGATGGGGCTGCCTCCTTATTGGTCTCATTCCAACCAGGGGTTTCATAGGAGAGCCTCCAACTAGAATATTGGCATATGTTCATGCAATTGTTGTTTATATATTTGGTATATCGAGATTTGGAATTTCATCTACTATTTTATCAGGACATTTTCCTGTAGTATTATAAACTTACGCCTTATTGGCTGAACCACGCAAACTTGGTGTTGCATTTGCATTTAATTTTCTCTCTTCCTTTCTTGTCCCTTTACCCTATCTCTTGTATGATCTTCATATCTGGGTCTTTTCCTTTGCTGCAACAAATTTTCTTGTTGAGGATGCTCATTTAGGTTAAGCCTTTTTATAACAACGAACTGCTTTAAATTGCTAATTGTCTTGTTATAATTTTTTTTAGTTGCTTGTGATGAAACCTAAGTATGTTGGATCACAGGATGCACGTTGAGATTAATTATGAGAAGGTTGAAAGCAATTACATGACACTTCTTGCTTGCTACGTTGGTATTTTTTAAAAATAAAATGGCAATATGAAGTTCTGACACAATAGAGGTGGACTTTGTTTGCGCTTTGAAATTGTATAAATTCTTTGTTTGCACCGTCGAAATTTGGCTGACCAAAATGCTGGATAGCTTAATATTGTTGTTAGAAATTAAGTAACTTTTCCACACTATCAAAACTCCAAAATTCGCCAGCTAACTTAGTGTGTGGGATTGTCACAATACCTGGCTAATCAGAGTGTTCCCTTATTGCATAATTCTGTAATTTTTTGCATGTATTTGTATCAACAAGGAATTGATCTCCTTGTGACACTTACTTGTTGGTGGCACTTTATCAATGTCTCCAGATCAAGTTCGAGGAAGGCATAATTGGAACCCCACAGCTGACAGATGACATTGTTGTTCCCGACAAGGTCGAGTTCCTGGGGCAGAACGTTGACCTCTCTCCATTCAAGGGCGTCATAAGCTCCATCCAGAATGCAGCATCATCTGTGGTTAGAACCATCTCTGGACAACCTCCACTTAAGATACCAATAAACAACACCAATGCACAATCCTGGTTGCTGACCACTTACCTCGACGAGGAGCTAAGAATCTCAAGAAGTGATGGCGGCAGCGTCTTTGTGCTCATCAAGGAAGGCAGCCCGCTCTTGAATTGATACCGATCCTTCTGCTGCCAAATATGAAGTTTGCTATACTATCATATGCTCAATTTGGAAACGTATAGTGTATAAATCAAATAGGCTTAAAGATAATAAATCTGATTTGAAATAGATGTATAAATTACAATATATGTTATAATTAATAGCGATGGTAAGTCAATACGAGAGAACTCATACCTATTGGTTCCAGCATGGGGTTTAATCTCAAGATGTCAGACTGAGTTTAATTCCCAGAATATTACTGTCTCCAGTTCGATACTGTATGCACATGTGAATTCATGATCAAGTCCATAAAACCAACGTAGGAGTGGGGGAACGAAGCTCCAGCTGAAGGCAACTATGAATCTAGAAATATATCGGAAGGTTGTAAACCATGCAAAGTGTGCTAGTCGATGGATGGTTGAGATTTTACTGCCCCACGATACAACAAAGCTTTTTGGTGTTTTCTCTTGGATTGAGAACTATGGTGGCGTTTTCTCTCCTCCGGTGGTGCAACAGATTTCTTTTTCTCGCCGGTGTGTTGGGAGGAATTTGTGTTAATTGACAATGTACCAAAGATGCTGTTGAGGTACAACTAAACTAAATGTAGACTATAGGAACAACCAATAGGCTCGAGAACATTTCGCAAGCACGAGATGCATCGAGCGCAGGCCTCAGCAGTTGCAGCCCATCCAAGATGCTTGTGTTGTTCTGCTTCCTTCGCCGTCAAAGAAAGTCGTCAGTTGATTGACTGCATGTAAGCTGGTCCGACAGAATCTGAGATCAATGATTCGATGGTTTCAAACCGAATCAGGATCGGCTTTTGGCAATTTATTTTCAGTTATTGGAATTTGGAATCGGTACTATAACTAAAGGTTTCAGTTTGATTTTGAACCGACCAAAAATGTAAACAAAAAAAAACTATATGCCCTTTAAATGATAAATCTACCCTTCCAATAGTTTAATAAATCATTAAGTAAAAAATATTTTAAAAATTAAAATATGCCATTTTAGTTCAAAATCAAAACCATAATCCTAAAATATTTTATTATTTTATGAATAGATATAATGACTTATATTTAATATAATAAAAAATAATAAATTTTTAATTATTTATATTTATATTTTAATATCTTGAGTTACTAACTCAAGTATAAATTATTGATGATGTCAAATCTAAAAATATATCTCGATCTTGACTTTTATACCGACAATACTTTCGGACCTCAACGTTTTCAGCTCAAAAACCTCTTAAATAATTCTGTTCATATGAATCCGAATCTTGCGACGAGGACGTGAAGTAAGGAAAAGTAATACGTGAGATATGGTACACCGTTCCCTTATCCACCTCACCGTACCACGTGGCGCTCACCTCAGTCTTCGCGCCCTTTCGCCGCGCTCTACTTCCCGACGGTACTATCCACCCAGCAACCAGCAGGCCTTATTGGCGGTACTCTCATTACTGCGTTATTAATGGAATCTGGTGCGGAAGAAATACCCGATCTTTATGAGATCTGTTTCAGCAGTTGGGGTTTAGTGGTTCGATGAGATTGATGGCGAGGTGAGGAGGCAGAGGTAGCTGTTGTTTTCAGCTTTGTAAGCTGTAGCCATGATGATCTTCCTCCCATCTGTTGTTGAGCTCGTTGTCGTTGCTACTTTCGGGTGTATAGAGGTCCAATAACATGCAAGAATAATACCAATAGAGCGGAGACGACGGGGGAAGGAAGTAATGGAGGCGGAGCGGATCGGGAGGAGGAAGTGGAGGAGCCTCAAAAAGCGGCTGGCGCTGATGGGCTGCTGCGTCAGCTCTTGGGGCTTCCGTGCCTCCAATCCCACCATCATCACAGATGAAATTTACCCAGAAAGGCCGGAGGAGGAGGTGGTGGTGGGGATGGGGGGCGCAACTTCGGCCGAGGAGATGAATCTGGCTGCGGCGCTGGCGGCTGAGCGGAATTACCGGGCGGCTTCTGTGGCGGAGGTGGGTAGAGTGGAGGGGAAGAGGACGGAGGCGCCGATGCCGGTGTCGCTGATGAGGTTGTTGGAGGAAGGAGAGGAGAACGGGGAAGGGGAAGGAGGCGGCGGAGGAGAAGCGTGGTGTTGCTGCTGCGTGTGCATGGGCGGGCGGAAGGGGGCGGCGTTCATCCCGTGCGGGCACACCTTCTGCCGCGTGTGCGCACGAGAGCTGCGGGCGGACCGTGGCACCTGCCCCCTCTGCAACCGTCCGATCCTCGACATCCTCGATATCTTCTAAATCAACGGCTTTCGCGCCTCGTGCTGCACCCTCGAGATTCCCGTTTCTGATGGAAGGGACGATTCCGGAGGAAACGCTTCGTATCTTTTGTTGTACGCGCTTATTACTTCTGTTTTGCCTCGTGTTTGTTGCTTTCGGTTTGTTTCTTCGCTAATATCGGGTAATATATACAAGAAATATGTGATCGAGGGCTTCATTCCAATCATATCAAGTCTATCCGAATCATAAAGTTTTCCAAGACAGCGTATCAACATGCCTGACAGATGGCACGTGCTTCTTCAGTGAGTTCCACGCGCCATCGGAGTCGATCGTCCTCGTCTGCACTGGATTGCAGGCACGACCTACTCATATCAATATCCGTACCATCTAAACCTCATGTGTTTTATATCACCTGAATAATTTATTTTATTTTATCTACAGAGATAGATAATTTTTTTTCAAAGATAAAAGTTGATGATGAGATTTAAGTTTAAGATTTTATGATGATATATTAAATTTTATATTAACTAAGTTAGTCGACACTTTCGATAGCAGTACTACTAGCATTCATTATTCTGCTTCATTGATGACCACCGCTTCTCTGAAACCTTAGACATAAATATCTAGTTGAATTCGCTATTTAATAGATCCTCATTCATTATTCTTCTTTACTGATGGCCACCACTTCTCTCTGAAATCTTAGATATAAATATCTTAAAGGATCTAATTTCCCTATAATATCTCATCAAATCCTACCGTGTCCGTAAAAACTAGTATCACAATTCATTTGATACAACCCTGCAGGCAACTGGATCGAATATCTACAAGATTAAGATTCTGACACTGTCCTCGACGCCATGGATTACACTGTTCGAGCTCCGACTACATAGGTCAGTATTTCCACCGCTAGCTATTATTTATCGCAGGAGATGGTGGAACAGCCATGAAAGCTGTCGTCTTCATCAACAGCCTCCATAGCTGGCTGAAAAGGCTGCCGGGTATTAGCAGGAGGATTCAAGCCGAACGGGATGGCCATGTCATCCCATCATTTTGTGCACTCCGAGGAGCATTCGACGCCTCACCTGAAAAGCCTCTCACAAACCACAATAGTAAATGGAAACGATGAGAAAAGGAGCAGCCCTCCCAACCGCCCTCGGTAGCCGTCCAGGTTATGGCGGGGGAGGGAAACCAGGAGCAGGAAGGTGGCTTGGCGGTGAAAGCAATGATGCCAAAGCTGGGGGATTGTCCGAGTTCGGAGGTGGCTTTACAGCTCACAGGTGCAGTTGCTGTAAGTTAAGTAGCTCTCACGGGATACATTTATATATATGGCAGTGCGATAAAAGATCAAAAGGAGGCCTTTTTTTCTCTTGGGCGAGAGGCGAGTGCGCACCGAGGGAAATGGAGGAAAAGATGGTCGGTGCCCCCACCCACAGTCGTCGTAATCCATCTCCTCTCCGGCATCCACTCTCATCCGTCTCTTTCCCATGTGACCGCTGTGTCTTTTCTTTGTTCCCCCAGCGAGTCCCGCAAGTAACTTGGACAGGTATAGTTGCTTGGGAAAAGGAAGTGATTCGCTTTGCGTGCTTCTGGGCGAAGACGAAGGTCCCCCAGGTTTTATGACCTTTTGAGAACACCTCAGTGCTTTCGAGGAATACATGCCATATTATTATTAAGCAGTGGACGCATCAATACACGTGCATACAGTGTGCCGTGTACTGCCGTCCCAAGATAAACGGCAAACTTTGTGGAGTCCACAAATCCGAGTCACAAGCCAAATAGGTAAAAGAAAGGAGGAGCTCGAAAATTGCACAAACAAATCCCACGCTACATCACCGGATCACGTCAACAAACAAATATATAAAGGAGCTACGAGAAGTAGCAGAAGCCACAAACAGCACAAGGATACACCCTAAAACTCCGCATCCATGCATGCATCGCTTCTCTTTGGTGGCTCTAACTACCTGCCGCTATAACAATACTACTTATACTCTTTATCTGCAATTAAGAAAAAGAACACACGACCTTTCTCTCTCTCTCTCTTTTTACTCGTGAGCTTCAACAGTTAGCCTTCCCGCCATCAATAACCTGAAGCCAATGTGATGACAAATCAAAATTGTTAATAGATTTTGCTAATATAATCAAATTAATAATAGAGGGTTCTTTAATTAATTACCTTCAAGACGAGATTTGGGGTTTAATCGTTTGTCACTGGGGCCACGCGATGGAGAACAGGTTCTTGAGGCGGCCGCCGGCGATCCGCTGAAGGGCCTTCTTGGCCCCGGGAACGTCGGCATCCGCCAGCTTCTGCAGATGCCGGCACGCCCCGGCCTCGGTGATCCGCTTACGTGCCCCGCCCCCGACGCCGGCCGTCAGCGCCACCGCTACCGCCACCGGGAGCTCCTTCCCCACTGCCTCGTTCCTAGGGTCCAGCATCTGGACTAGCCTCGTCACGCTCTTCTCGTCCCTCGATAGCTCCCTCCGGTTCGACCGGACGGAGAGTAGTGACGTCAGTGCCCCCGCCGCCGCCTCCTGCGCGCTAGCTGGCTTCGAGCATTCCATCATCTTGATCAGCGCCGGCATCGACTCTGCCATCGATCGCTTGATGTCTTCGCCGGGGGAGAGGTCGGCGACCAGGGTCGCGGCGAGTTGCTGCACACCGGCGCTCCCGCGCTTGATTAGATCCGTCAGTTGCGCGAAGAAGGGCGCCGACGAAGAGAGGAGTTTGGCGGCCGCGGAAGAGGCAGCGAGGGCGCTGATCGCTCTCAGGGCGTGGTCTGTTGCTTCCGGGTCCGGTGCATCCCGAAGGAACTGAAGGAGATGGAGGAGGCCGCTCTCTTGCATGATGGCGGCGCGGATCTCGGCGCCGCCCATGGAGGCAAGGGACGCCAGGCAGAGAGCAGCGTTCTTCTGGGCCTCGAGGTTGCCGGAGAGGACGAGGTCGACGAGCGCCGGGACGGCGCCTTCGTCCGCCATGGCGGACCTGATGTCGTCGATTGCAGCCACGTTCTTGAGGGATCCGGCGGCGAGGGCCTGGACGACGGGAGAGCCGGAC